AAAGGAAAGAAAATTTTACTTTGACAACGAAGATGGAAATAACAAAGAGATGAATAAATAAATAAATAAATAAGATAAATAAGATAAATAAGATAAATAAGATAAATAAGATAAATAAGATAAATAAGATAAATAAGATAAATAAGATAAATAAGATAAATAAGATAAATAAGATAAATAAGATAAATAAGATAAATAAGATAAATTATTACCTATATAGGGATACAAGAGACAAGTACTAGGAGGGAAGGGGGATTCATTCTTGACTTCACTCTTACTCTCTATTGTTAAAGTGGACTTTACTTTTGTCTTATATCAAACTTCACTCTTCTCTTATATCACACTTCACTCCTCTCTATCAAACCATACCTCACTCATCCTTGATATAGTAACATATATTCTTTATACCTACCTACCTAAATATCTAGTATTGAAGTTTATTCTCTCTCATATCTACTACTACTAGGTATCTTATCGTACATTCCTAAGAACATCCTCTCACAACAAGGTCCAAGGAACAAAATCAACCACCAAGAATCATCCATCGTTCATCACCATCACCCATTTATCACATCTTAACCATCCATCAATCAGATCAAGATACAAGAAAACACAAGCCTCCCCCAATTTGATTTCGGCACCAAGATCCGAAACATAATCACATTGGGCTTGCCGTTATTTCCTTCCTATGCCACACCCTTTCCCTTTTCTTGATTAGACCTTTGGATTTTCATAAGCATTAACGAACGAATACATGAAAAGAGGATCTAATCACTTACGACTAACGACGATCTTACCTTCTCCCTTTCCTTCCCCAACGTTGTGAAGAGAAGAATAAAGCAAGAGACACACGTTCAAGACGAGGCAGAAGAGAAAGTTTAAGTCTACTACATATATATACCAATACCAATATACGTATGATACACATACACATACACATACATACACATTCAACCAACCATATGGTTCATATCACACAACGACGAATCCTCACACGCTGCACAAAAAAACGATACGAAACTCACAAAACGTACGAATATCCACGCCAATAAGCTATAACCATACCTAAACCATAACCCTTGGGAAAAGCAAGAGAGTGGACAACTTTGATTGACTTAGCACCACTTACCATTTACAACTTACCATTTACAACTTACCATTTACAACTTACCATTTACAACTTACCATTTACAACTTACCACTTACCAAATCCAATTTCGTACTCGAGCACTCGTTGGTACCGCTTCATCACTTGACTTTGAAGTTTCATCCATCCACCAATTACCATTCAATCAACTATTGGAATGACCCCAGTGTGATTAGATTACCTTGCGCAAGACCCTCCGTCTACATTTGGGTAGATCACGATTCACGAATTAACTCAATTTACGATTCAAGGTAGCTACCTAGTAGCTACTTGGGTGCATCGCTACTAGCTACACACACACATATAACCAACTGACCTGACCGAACGAAACGGACAAGCGATTCCTACGCCAAGAAAAAGAGACCATCTGCATTGCCCCAGGAAATTCAAATCCGAACTAAATACCTACTTGCCTACATACCTACCTACCTACCTACCTACCTACCTACCTACCTACGTATCTACGTATCTCCCTCCCTCTCTCCCTCTCTCCCTCCCTTGTTATATATATGAATGTAAAAAGAGAAATACCCGCCGACCGTTTGTCTATACTTCTACACAAAATGGCCAGTCATCGTTCCTATAAGACCTCTTCTTACTTTCCTACAAATGGGAGTCGAGACGCTTCTCATCGTCCTCATACCAAACCATCCTATTCATCTTCTTCCTCGGATGAAGATATTATTGCATCATTGAAAGGTCTTGCCATACAATCCAGGACCAAAGAAATCACGAGTACTAGTAACAGTAGTACAAACTCTCCACGTTGCGGTACTCCCGGCACACAAGGTATGTTACGCTTTTACTTTTCAGTGCAAGCCTTTCCCGCATTCTATTAAGCTGCCCCGCCACCACGTACAACTTAGCAGAAAAGGGTCCAAGCTAACTCGTGATTTGGTAACTATAAAGTTGAAACGATCTCTACGACACTCAATACGACATTCGACACTCCAAAGAAAAGCGATTCCATTCCAATTTCCGGCCCTCAATCGACAAGACGAACTCGCGTTTACACTCCATTGACAGGTCGTGGAGAATTACCAGGGTAAGCATGATTTGATTGTCGTACCTCGAGTTTCTGAATTGAGCATGAAGGCATAGCAAGGTCCATGCCAGGAAGTTATTGTGGCATTGTTGTTCTGACAAAATGATTTATAGAGGATATTTTCCCGGATTTGCAGACGAAAACCCAGAAACTCTCAAATCAACCATTCTACTATCAAGTTCACGTTCGAGAAATTCACCAGAAATGCAACCAATTACGATATCTTCCATGTCGTCACCAATGGATTCACCAGCTTCTGATACCACTATTCGTGGTCCTCCTTCGATTGTCAACTCTCCATTTACCTTGCCAGAAACTTTAGTTATCCCAAAAGGAAAATACTATCCTTCAAACTATAAGCCATCACCAACATCACCCCTCCCGGCACCTCTCACGAGCATCCCTTCGTCAATATTAAATGGTGGCAATCTTCAACTGCCTCCCAAAAGTCAACGTCAAAAATCTTCCAATCCGCATCATCAAAGGAAATCCTCAGACGTTAAACGAAAACTACAAAAGTATCAGAAAGATATGATTGAACAAGCACGTATGGTACATGCGTCAGTAGTTTCTACTCCCGGGCAATCCGCACCAGGATCAAAGCCTATCAGTCCTAGATTACTTCCTTTGGGTAGTCCTGGTCCTATTACACCATTTGAATTGGAAGAAAGTTCTGGGTATTTGATTGCCGGTCAAATGAGATCTGGCGGATTAGCTGAAGGTGGATTGATAGAGAACGAAGCAGTTGCGAGAATGATTCGAATGGAAGAAGAAAGACGAAGACGAGAGGAGCAAAGTTCACCAGCTGCTCGAGTTTGAAGGAGTTCGGAACTCTTGAACAGGATGGGGGTGTTCAGCCACACGGTTTCTTCCGACATTTCCGGAGAACGATCAACTCCTTCGATCACGATTCACAAGATTATGCATGGGACATTTCGCATTGAGCGATTGCATCAAAATACCCCGCACATTTCATTCGGTTCCCCACACTTTATCAAGAAAAATATTTCTTGATGCTTTGCATGAAGTTCCCCCACAAAATATATCACTCTACACGTCAGCACGTACCGGATATCTCTTCACACTTCTTGTTTCAACATCCATCACGCATCAGATACTTTTTCACTCTTCTTGTTTCGACATGAATCGCACGAATCACGAATCATTCACGGCCCCTTTTCCTTTGTCAATTTGATATCCAATACTGTTTTTACCGCATGTCACATGGTCAAACAATAAGAATTGACTAAGCTCTACTCATTCTTTTTTATCTCTGACCTAAATACCAAGTGCTGGTATGTTAGCTTTACTTTTCGCATTCTCTCGCGTTGGGGGTTTTAGGTTTGTACTCTTTTTTCCCTTTGGTTTCGTTTAGCATGGTTATAGAGTCTGGATTGGGATGGGTTGGCTAGGATGGGGAAGAGAGGAATCTGGGTAGGGTTTGGCGTTGCTGGTCAAAATCAAATCTTACACATGGGATTTCTCATTTTGAATCGGGAGGAATTATAGATTGGGGATGGGCTGGGAGGAAATGGAATTTGTTGAAAATGCTAGATGCGCGTTGAGCGTTATTTTGCTTTGATGGGGGTGGGATAGTATAGGATAGGATAGCAGAGGATGAAAAATAGCTTGAGAATTCATTATATATTTTATAGAGTATTCATGCGACTGTTTATGCATGTATGAGTTTACTTGTTTTTGTTTTTGTGTTTGTGTTTGTGTTTGTGTTTGCGTCTGTGTATTCTTGAGAGTGATGATGACGGTGATGGTGATGATGATGATGGTGATAGTATAGAGTTTATAAGTATCATGAGGCTAAGTTAAACTCGAGCTGGAGTTGAAGTTGAAGTTGATATGTATACTAGATACCTATATACATCTATACATACATCTATATATATATATATATATATATATATATACATATATATGAATAAACTTGACTTGATTTCACTTGACTTGACTTGACTTCAATTAAATCTAATAGAATCTGATTGAATATAATCTAATAAAATCAAGCGCGCTCAAATCACAGCTGTAGTTGTAGCTGTAGCTGTAGCTGTGCAAGAAAAATAGATAGAGGAGAATTTAGGGAGAGGTTGAATTAGTTTGGGAGTTTGGGAGTTTTTGGGAGTTTGGAAGTTGGATTGGGATTGGGATTGTTAGTGTGTGAATAATCTTAGGTTGTAGAAGGTACTAGGTAGGTATGTGATGGTTGGTTGATATTGGAGATGTTGATTGGATTGTATGTATGGTTTGGTATTGGGGTGAGTGGGTGAGTGGGTGGATGGGTATATGTGGATATAGATTTGGATTTAGATTTGAATTTGGATTTGGATTTTCTATTTTATTCTTTCATATATATCGAAAGATTTCAAAGTGAAGGATTTCAAAGTGATATGTGTGATATGTGTGATATGATATGTATGATATGACCAACCAAGATGATTAGATTTCCGATATCTATTCATCCCATTACAAGCTCTACTAACGATTTGCATAGGCTTCTTTACTACAGATACCTACCTAGGTACCTAGATATCGTTGTCAAGGTGGATGGATGTGGTGATGTACTTATACCACATATCAAAGATGAGATGTGGTATTTCGAATGAGTATGAGTATGAAGATGTTGTTGATTTCTTTTAGATGATTGAAGTGGTTTGGAGATGGAGATGGAGATATAGAGGTTTTTTTATCATATGGTGGATGGTGTTCATCATGTTGATGATCTAGCTCTGAGATTTATTTATCTATCAGCTCTTAATTCAATTGGCAGCTTCCAATTTTATATCTTCCTCTTCCTTACTACCCTCTCCACTCTCCTCTACTTTCTCTCCCTCTACTTTCTCTCCCTCTACTTTCTTCTCCCTCTACCTTCCCCCCACCCCCCTCCTCCCTCTTCCCATTCCCCTCCCCCTTCTTCCCCACCCTCCCCTCAAAACTCAACACCGCAATCCCCAACACCTTCCCCTCCATCTTGACCCTCTCCCTCGCGCCCTCCACCCCCGCCACAAACTCTCTAATCCTCGCAATCACCCCCTCCGCCTCCTCCACCGACGCCTTCCTCCCCTTCTTCTTCCCCGCCAAAATAACCTCCACCTTATTCCCCCTCTCCAAAAACCCCCTCATCTTCTCCAACCGATGTCCCAAATCATTCCGCTCAATCGCCCAATTCATCTCAATCGTTTTCGTCACCGTCCCCGGATTCTTACTCTTCTTCACCTCTTTCTTCTTCTGAAACAAGTCCCGCTTATTCACAATCCGCGCAATGGGCGCGAGCCCCTCGTCCGACAAGGCAATCACCTCCAACATGTGGGTTTTGCGATCCACGGAGCGGAGAATCTGCGCCGTGCGCACCGGAGCGTCGAGTTTCCCTTCGGCATTTTTGAGTCGCAGAAAGGGCGCCGTGATTTCCGTGTCCCGCGGAAGACGCTGTTCGGCGACGGCGGTGGAGGTGCTTTTGAAGACGCTGCGGGTTTGGATGCGAGTTTGCAGGTGGGAAGAGGAGGAGGAGGAAGAAAATATGGGGGAGTTGCGTAGGAGGGACGTTGATGCCGATGCGGATGTGGATGATTCGATAGGGAATCCCGAGAGAAATACTCGACGAAGAGCAGAAGCTGCGTTGAAGACGCAGCGGGGATTCGTCATAGTTGGTATTCGTATAGATGGGGTATGAGACTGTGATGAAGCTTGAGAGAGCTTGTGTTGTAGATGCCAGACGAGAAGAATTTATTGTGATGCGTGATTATGTAAGCGTATTCGTTCTGCATCGTCATATCACGGGGAAACAAAATATTCTGTATTTACAAACGACTTTACAGCCTGCGCAAAATTACTTATTTGATAAATTACCTACTTATGTAAATACAAAGAAAAAGCATGTCATGATATTTAAAACACTCCTCCGACCACTCCCCCCTCGCCTCCTCCATCCCTATCCCATCCCCAACCATGTCATCAACCAGCGCATCTCCCTCTTCCCGCGCTCCATTAGTATCAGCGCCGGAAGAGGAAAAGGAGGAAGCGAAAACCCCAAGCACGCCTCGCACCCCCTGCGCATCCTAACCTGGACGCTCAAATCACTCTTCATCTACCACCTCTTCCACACCTACATCTATTCACTCGAGACGGGATCTGGTCCCTCGATGCTCCCCACCATCTCCGTGTCCAACGATTGGTTTCTCATTTCGCGTGCGTATCGACGCGGCCGCGGCGTCCAGGTTGGCGATATCGTTTCCTTTGAATCGGTGGTTGAGCCTGGTCAAAAGGCTTTCAAGAGAGTTTTGGGGTTGGAGGGGGATTGCGTTATGATGGGGACGCCGGGGAGTGGGGAGACTCAGATGATTAGAGTGAGTTTATAAGGCTTGAAGGGAAAGCGAGGGGATGGCTTGAAGGGAAGCGCTAATGATTTATAGATTCCTGAGGGACACTGTTGGGTAGTGGGGGATAATTTAGAATGGTCGAGAGATTCGAGGATGTTTGGTCCGATACCCATGGCTTTGATCAAGGGGAAAATCATCGCTAGAGTACTACCGTGGAGCGAGAGAAAATGGTTCGAGAACGATCTGCAGCCAGTGGGAGATGGCCATTGAAACTTTGATGTAGTCACAAAAAACAATCACCAAGTATTAAGAAGTTAAATAGTCATGCCTGACTGATCAATGTCATGTGAGAGTTCCGACTATTTCGAGCAATGACTGGATTTGGATATCATAATGTCCTATCTAATTACATGAATAACAACTAAAGTTCCATATCGCTGTAATAATTTGTTGAAGGGAGACGTCGTGAAAAGATATATTGTAATGACAGGAACCTCTGAAGGTCTGTCATGAAAACACAGGAATAAAAGTAGTGCAGCGCCCCCTATTCTGCCAATATGCTCGCTGCAAACTATCATGCCTTTGATTATACTCCTAACACCGTGCCCTACCCATAGCTAGATGCAAATAACAAAAAATCTTTTCTTGTGCAAACCGCTCAACCTTCGATATGGGAAGACTTCCCACCTTGTCCGAGTAGTTGTAATGATCTTTGAGCAAGTTGAATAACTTCTCCTTCCCCGTCTTCTTCGCCTTCGTCGTCGGATTCAATTTGTTTGTCGGAAATAGTCTTAATCATTTGTACAATCTCTTCTGATTTTCCAATCAAGCTTATTAATTTTTTATCCTCGGATTCCAATAGTTGTAACAATGTCCAGATTGCGATGTGTTGGAAAGTCGGATCTCCGCTAGCGAGGAAACGTTTTAGATAACCGTGAATACCTCCGAATGGTTCTGTCCAGGCTTGAATGAAGATAGAGTAGTCACCGACTATAATTAGTTAGCATTGAAAACTTCAAGCATGATCCCATAATTAAAACTTACCCTTGGACGACAAATTACCAAGAGCTGCAGCACTGTTGCCTTGGACTTCGATACTCGGGGAGTCTGTCAATGGAATAAGGACATCGAATACACCTAGGTTGAGAAGTTGAGTCTTAAGATCGTCACTTAAGGCCAATACAGCGATTGCAGCAGTCATTTCCGATTGAACACTAAGGGCGACCTCCAGAACAAGTTGTTTGCATTTTTGAACAGCTCCAGCTTGTAGAACAAGCTCCTTGTTTCGATCAGAACTAGCAGCAAGGTTGCGAAGTGTCGATATGGCGTGGCATTGAATTTCTTCATTATCGGTGGAACCTAGTAGATCTACTAATGGTTTTAGAAAGCCGGCATCAATAATTGGAGATTCGTTTAATGGATGTATCGATATGTTGCGTATGCAAGCGACAGCAGAAAGTATTAATGGTAGATAGGAGGATTGTAAAAGTCGTAATAATGGAGCTAAACCGCGAGCGCGCACAATTTCTAATTGATACTTCTCATCAGAAGCAAGATTTCGCAAGGCCAAAGCTGCTTGGCACTGGACTTTAGGCGAAGAGGAATCCATCAGGTTCACAAGGGATTGTATGAGTCTGTTCTCGTTCAAGGCGAGCTTCTTGCGGTTATTAGCATCAACAGCGATATTACTCAAAGCTGTTGTACAGTAGTATTGTACATCTACATCAGAAGACGAGAGGAGTTGTACGAGGACGGGTATGGCACCAGCATTAACCAGCTGCTGTCGGTTCTCATCTAAATGATGTCAGTGTTTGTAAATGCTACGCCGAGAAGGTTACTGCTTACCAGAATGTGTCATGTTCAATAAAGCGCCAGTAGCATTTCTCTGCACACGCATATCTTTAGATTTAGCTAGACGAGTAAGAGGTCCCAATGCCCCTGATCGTGCGATCTTGGCCTTGTTATCCTCGTGTGTCGCCAAATTGGTGATACAACCGACCGCGTTACATTGCACCTCGACATTTGGGGACATCATCTGTCTGATGAGAGGCGTAAGCCCCCCAAGAAGTACGATTGCTACTTTGTTTTCCGCTGCACTCTTTGTTAGCTTGATTCATATCACAGGGGAACATAACCTACTGTTAACTGCCAAGTTTCCAAGAGCTGCGCTAGCCGCTCGTTGTACCTCGATATCGGGACTTTGCAAAAGGAAGAGTATCGGCTCGAGGGTGTCTCTATCTACTTCACGAACATCTAAAAGGCGTCAGTAATAAATCCCCTGCACTAACGATAATCTAATCCCATCCGCTCTGAAGAGCCGCCATTGAAGTAGTTGCATGCGAGGCGGACCACTATTTATACAGGTCATGCATTTCGCCCGAGTCCAACATTGTGTACTCGCATCCATCCAGGTATATAACAAAGACGTACCTCGTTCCGTTATCTCAGCAAACGTCAAACTAGCACTTCGCTGAAGGTCGACATTATCAGAAAATACCAATGTACTCAAAGCTCGTAGAGGTTCCCCGGAGAAAAAGTCGGTCTCGCCGCGCTGGATGATCATTAGACATCGAATTTAATATTAGTTTAGGCTCTTCTTACATTCTCTAGGTATTGTAATAGGTCTGCCACCGCTTCTCTTTCGCTTTCTGCTAGCACTGGCTCATATAAGCCATCTCGGGATTTACCTGCACAGTCCAACGATAAGTAAATAATTCCACGAGACATGATTCTTTTTTCAACGCATACCTCCGCAGCAAGAAGAGCAAACACCTCCCATTTCTTAATGTTGGTCCCGTAGGACTGGTGAGCGTAGAATGTAGGGTCGGGATCAAATTGTGTTTGTGTTGGAATGAAATGTAATGAGGGCGATGAATCGAACAAAGCGAAGCTACAGGAAGGGGAAATGGCGTAAATTTCGATTTCGGATTATATTAATGGAAGGCTCGATGGCCATTCGTCGGGGAGTAGCGATGTGAATTAAAGAATTGTTCTGGATGTTGATAAAAGGAAGGAATGGTCGAGGATTGCAGATTGAAGATTGATGAGTCGAGTTTGAGTTTGAGTCGAGGTGAGTTGAGTTGAGTTGGCGGGAAGCTTTTTGGTTTTCTAACACAGCTTCGGTCTTTCACTTTCCTTAGGTAATTGTACACCACCGCCGGCTTGTACACGCTACGTGCTACAGAAGGCTACGCACGGACCACAGACCAATGTAGTCGACTATGACGGAAAGAGAAAGGTCGAGGAATAATAATAAATGGATCCCTGTTCGAGTTTGTTAGGTTGCTTGTACTAGGTGAGGACGGAGGAGGAGTTGACTTGATTTAACCTTGGAACCTTTGAATGATGTCTGTTTGATGAGAAATGAGTGAGGAATGAATTTTAATTTCTGATACAATTTGCTGTAATTTGCTATAATTTGCTAAGGTCTCATGAACAATTAAACGACCGTACCTAGGCACGTAAGCTCCTTTGTATGACAACCTCGCTCTCTGCTCTCTGGTTGAGTGCTTACTGGCTCCTATCTTGGTATCGTATCTCGGTCAGCAGCATCAATCAACATGTCCCGCTACATCGTGGATTTGGTCGATCCCCTGCGAATCTCCAGCCTCCTCTTCCCGCAACGAAAGAAAATGGAGCCTCGCGGCTAAAGGTGACTAAAGATATCCAATAGATAGCATGGACGATATGCTCGGGAGGTTTATCTATGTCGCTATCGGTATAGATAGTTGGGTACGGAGCAGCGACGAGAAGAATTGAAAACTCTTCCATTGGAGAATGACCAAGTGTCTCAGATTTGGTATATAAAATCAAGTTAAGTTAACAAACATACTACCATACCTACTCGGTAGAGTTACCCAGTAAGTGATGATAGAACCACTTTCACTCTTCACTCCTCGCTCCTCACTCCTCACTCCTTATCCGATGATACCATTATGGGCACATCTTCATCTCTCCCCATCCTCGACATCCTCGACATCTCAATTCCAACAGCCATTTACCCAGTACGAGTACACATCCTCCCATTTATTCTTTGCTCCCTGAACCTAGGTAGTGCGCTCGTAAGGCTATCGATTAAAATAAAGATCAGAATGTCACCACAACACAACACAACCATGCACAAACAGCATAACATTCACGTCGTGACAACTCAATTGCTCAAGATGAGAAAAAGCCATACACAAAACAACACTCGTTATCCTGGGATAAACAACCCTTCGATTCAATGAAAACTTTTCCAAATCGACTTATCGCGTATCCACATTCAATTCTGGTACACCACTCTACGAAGTATCCATTTACACCGATATTTTGCCCCAATAAAAAAAAGATGCAAACGCATACACCCACTTGAAGCCTCACCAACATAACCAATGGATGCGGCATGGTTGATTCTCAAAGCCGGGTACCAAAACAGCAACAGCGAACTGTTTTATATCGACGTGTTTCCCTAGTGATGGTTCTAATTCTCAAAGATCAACGAGGTGGATGTACAGAGGGGTTTCATCCATTGACATCTTCCACTTCAGATTATGCAAGATACTGAAATCATCCTGTCATTAAGCAATTTGGAGATAGCCACCCACGCCACCATTCTATTTATTTTCCGAGGCAGGTGCAGGTATCTTTTTAGCCACAGAAACTCTCAAATTCGAGTTCATGCATGTAGGTCAAAGTACAGGGAAAGCAACTTCAACAAGCATTGGTCATCCTAGAAGAGTAAGATGAGTGAACGCTTAGGTATGCTGCTGCTATTCAAACGGCCTCTTCATCATTCAAGAGGAGATCTCTGGGGGATTTATTCTAGAAGATTGTTCTAAAGCTACTCCAGAGCTTAGAGTCTTTTCAATTGAACTGCTGGAGTTTGATAATTTACGCTCGTGACTACGAATAATCGTCCATCCGAAGTTTAGATAAGATAGAGGCAAGCCGCCCCGTCCCATCTTTGAGATAACCCAATCGAGAGAACCATATCAAGTCAAGCTCATGCCTTGGGCGATGATTTTTTTCTTTCTTGTGAAGAGATTTTCAACTACTTCGGTGCGAGGTATGAGTTGGCATCGTGAGAAAATGTCTTTGCATTTCAAAAATGGTGTAGTAAGTGGATACTCAAAGGACTAATCCGGGGAAGAGAACCGAGCCTTTCATGGGAATCCGAAAAGGGATAAATAGACCCAGAATGATAACCGAACATAATGTACCGTATAGATTCGATTCTCGATATATATGTACTGAGGGATTCATGATAGGAAGATCGAGCTGCTTCCCCTCAAATAGTTTTATGCAAATTACAGTTATAATCTTTGGTAAAAATCTGGTCATCTTTGGGTTCCTCTTATACGAAAGCTTCCAGGTTGCTTCCATTCCATTAAGAAGAGCTAGACGCGCGCTGGGTATGTGTATACAATTTTAGCTACGATATCTGGAAAGATGACGAAACACTCAAGGTTCCCCTCAATCTCGAATTGGAAAGATGTTGACATCTACCTATCTAATGTCTAAGTATAGTAGGTAGGCCATGAAGGATGGATACAATTATTGCTCTAGTAATAAATATACTGGCCGGGTAGGGAATACTCGAGCAAGTATCTAGTGCGATGATGAAGGGGTAATTCTCGATATTCGTGCACACATACGATAGTCGTTTACCAATGAGTTGGGTTTGCTCGAATATGTTGACTCGAAATAGGTAGATCAGGAAAGTTTATTGAGTGATGACGCTCCGCTAGGCCACTGCCGTGGAGGCCTTTTCGCACCGCTCTAGATGATCTTGATCGGTGAATACCTACCTAGTACCTACCCACCTGGGCAGCTAGATGTATTATGTATTTCATTTCGACATCAGACCTCACATACTTCACATACTTCACATACCTACTTCAAATATTACGGTAGATAAAGTGACACAACAATGCAGAAGCTGAAACAGGTCAAATTTTGGCTGATCATATATATAAAATTCCCCAGAAAATCTGCCCCACCTTCGTGACTTTTGTTCTAGCTTTCAAAGTTCAACCCACCATTTCCAAGCTTTGCGACTCAATATTATCCATCTTCCTACGATACAGTACAACATACAACCTTTCTCATGATTCATACTTCAATTTAATTCTTATTGAATTTTCGGCCAACTTTATCTTTGTCCCTCCCCCCCAAGATCAATGTGCTCCCCACGAATTGTCCCAAGCATAATCCATGTCTAATATGGCAGAAGAGATGCAGCCAGCGGCGCCCAATCCCGCAGACACCTTCACATCACAACCACCGGCTGTCGCTAGACATGATCACGAGTCGCGCATAGCTCAACCTTCTACATTCCTCCTTCCAAGAGTGAAGGTCGCCGAGATGCAGCAAGAAAAGCCGCTGGAGGAACCGCCGCTGGAAAAGCCGATGAGTGCGCTCGACAAGGAGCAGCAAAAGGGTCTGGTAAGATAATTCCCGTTATCGCTTGTTCCATCAGGGTGGTCGTATAAAATCATTCGTAGGATACTCGTGGGGGTTTTGTACTTCGAGTATCACACGAGGCTGACATACTCAATTCAACAGAAATCGATTCGAGATTTCCTCAAGCGCCGTACAAGTTACGATGTTCTACCTCTTTCCTTCCGACTTATCATTCTAAATACCGATTTACTTGTCAAGAAGAGCTTGACTATTCTCCTACAAAATGGTATACAATACCCCAGGCCATGTCAGATCACATCTCGTCGCTGATCTCTGAACTTTATAGGTATCGTTTCAGCCCCGCTATGGGATTCGCACACCTCAACTTTTGCTGGTCTTCTTACAACTTCGGACTATATAAATGTCATCCAATACTACTGGCAGAATCCAGAAGCTCTCAATCAAATAGACCAATTCAAGTTGAGTAGCTTAAGAGGTAGGGTCTGCGACTAGGGTTGGTTGAGCGTCAGGCTGAATGAATCACAGATATTGAAAAGGCAATTGGCGTACTACCTTTGGAGACAGTATCGGTACATCCGGCACGACCTCTTTATGACGCCTGTCGACAAATGTTACAAACCCGCGCCCGCCGTATTCCACTGGTTGATGTCGATGACGAAACCGGAAAAGAGATGGTGGTTAGTGTGATCACACAATACCGCATTTTAAAATTTATTAGCGTCAATGTCGATGAGACGGAATTCCTGAAGAAAAGCGTTTCGGAACTCAAGCTGGGAACATATGGCGACTTACAAACCGCAAATATGGATACCCCGGTGATCGACGTCATACACATGATGGTCAAACACAGCATTTCGAGTGTTCCCATCGTTGATAAAGATTCACGAGTCCTTAACCTTTTCGAGGCTGTTGATGTAATCACAATCATCAAAGGTGGAGTATATGATGGCTTGACGTTGACTGTGGGAGAGGCTTTGGCAAACAGAGCAGAAGATTTTGCAGGGATTTATACATGCAGCGAGGAAGACAGACTAAATTCGATCTTTGACACGATTCGAAAATCTAGAGTGCATCGATTGGTGGTTATAGATGAAGAGCAGCATTTGAAGGGAGTGATCTCTTTGTCCGATATTCTGCAGTACGTACTCCTTCATGGAGAAGACGACGATTGAGCCTATCCGATATTGGCAATGATACTACGGGGACGGATGGGCGTTGCATAGCGATTTGGCGTACAGGCACAAACCTGATCTCACTGGTCATAAAATGGCCACAAATAGATGTGATTGGGCGATTTATTCATATTCGTTAATACCATTTTATCGACTGCGGATTAGGGGTAACATGGCAAGTTTGGGGAATGGCTTGTGAATATTTTATGGATGATGGGCAGTAAAGTACTTACGATTCAGGAAATTTATCTTTTTTATAATGTTTTGATGGAATACTGTGCATTTCCAATTAACTGAAAGTTGGGACAATTCTTTTGTGGATTTATCACTCTGGAAGTCAGGATCAACTTTAAACGAACTTGTATAGTGGTTCTTCGAGTAAGTATTTAACAGTCTGGACTAGCAGACCAGATGTGTGCTTTGAAAACTTGAGATGCTATAGAGGCAGTTTTCTCAAACAGATTTGATCTTTCAACGGAATTCAATCTTTTGGCTCATTTCGATTCTTTGGAAGAATTCAAGAATCAAAAGCTTCTCGTTGAATTGCACCTCGAAAATTTGCACATCTCCACAGTTCCTCGTTGGGGTCCTCACTCAAGTTGACTACCAAGTAATTGTAAGTCGCGGTTTCTTCTTTTGTCGATAATAGAAAATTGCACCTCCCTAGTGAGTGGCCTCCTTG